GTATTTCAATAGTATAATTTAATGTCTTGATTATTCATTGAGAGATAAAAGTAAGTCTTTTGACAGTCTGTTATGTCGCTGAGTGAAGAGGTTAAGAAAGGGGGAGAGGGAACAATGGCTACCTTCAAAGCACAAAGGTTATTGTTTCAGTATGCCCCGTGCTAGATATAGCCCCCAGAGATCCGGGCCCTGCCCACCCTCATGGCCTTTCGCAAAGCCATTAAAATCTGGCTTTTCCAGCAGGCTTGGGGCTGTTGACCCCTTAATTGAGGTCCAGTCCCTTCTGATTGGGTGATTGTTGTGTTCCTTTTTAACTTTGTTGTGTCCCATTGTTTTTAATAATTCTTTTTAATCTTTTTTTTTTTTCATTTCTGTAAGACGCCCAGAGTCCTCCGGGATTGGGCGGCATAGAAATTCAATAAATGAAATGAAATAAATGAAATGAAAAAAGAATGATAATCATTGGGCACTCCTTCAGAAAGGAAAACGGCACTACAGTAGCCACAAAAACAGAATGCATTCATTTCCAATAGTTCACATTGAATTAACTGATTTCATTTCATTAACAAGAGCCAAGTGAGTAGTACATGTTAGTATTTGTTCTTCGGGAAGATTCGTTACACCTGCAACCTGCAGAAATCTCTACACCTTGGGAGCAGATAATCAGTTTTCACCAGCTTGGGGCGATGGTGGTTATGCCAGCTCATCGAGTCAACCAGAGTTCAGCTCAGGGTATTTCTTAAAATTTGCCGATCTCTTCTTCTCTTTTCTGCCCACAATCTGCTTTCTTCGACTTTACATTTTCTCAGTTTATTGACCGTGCTTGTTTCACGCTTACAAGATGAGATGGTATCGGACAACAGCAGTCCTTTTTTGTTGATTTATTCTTGATTTGTAGGGGATCGGTCTTATCGCAATATTCCAATGTGGCCACTCATCATATCAGAAATGAGGGAGGTCAAGACACCCATCTGGATCGGCCCTTTGAGCCACCATATCTTCTAGACAGATTAACAGAATTGGAAGGGACCTTATTGGTCATCTAGTCCAACCCCCTCACTCAAGCAGGAGACCCTACGCCATTTCTAACAAATGGCAGCCCAATCTCTTCTTGAAAGCCTCCAGTGATGAAGCTCCCACAACTTCTGAAGGCAACTTCTGTTCCACGGGTTGATTGGCCTCATTGCCAAAAAAAATCTCCTTATTTCTAGGTTGAATCCCTCCTTGTTTAGTTTCCATCCATGATTCCTTCTCTGGCCTTTAGGTGCTTTGCAAAATAGCTTGACCCCCTCCTCTCTGTGGCAGCCCCTCAAATATTGGAAGATGTTATCCTGTCTCNAATGCTGGAAGGACGCCAATCACAAAGTGTGTCACCTTTATACATAAATTATAAATAATTTTATTTTAATTTTATAAATAAATGATTTCAAAGACCTTCAAAGAACAACTAGACACAAGAACAGTTTCCCCCCCCCCGAACGCCATCACTCTGATAAACAATTCCCTCAACACTGCCCTACTATTTACTAAGTCTGCACTACTATTACTATTAATCTCATTGTTTCTATCACCCGTCTCCTCCCACTTATGATTGTATGAGTGTAACTCTGTTGCTTGTATCTTTACGATGTATATGAGTTTCCTAGTATGATTTGATTGCTTATTTGTACCCTATGACTATCATTAAGTGTTGTATCCTATGATTCTTGATGAATGTATCTTTTCTTTTATGTACACTTAGAGCATCTGCACCAAAGACAAATTCCTTGTGTGTCCAACTACACTTGGCCAATAAAAGAATTCCATCCTATCCTATCCTATCCTATCCTATCCTATCCTATCCTATTCCTTATCCTATTCCATCGCTTATTCTATTCTATTCTATTCTATCCTATCCTATTCTACTTTTCTATTCTATTTCTATTCCATTCCATTCTATCCCTTATTCCATTCCATCCCTCATTCCATTCCATTCCATCCCTTCTTCTCTTCTCCTCCCTTCCCTTCCCTTCCCTTCCTTATTCCATCCCTCATTCCCTTCCATTCTATCCCTTCTTCTCTTCTCTTCTCTTCTCTTCCCTTCCCTTCCTTATTCCATCCCTCATTCCCTTCCATTCCATTACTTTTGGTTTTTTAAACATATCCCTGCCCACATAGGCTTCTGCTGGGCTTCACGTATTTATACTGTGTCACACTTGGCTTTGATCATGATTTGCTAAACAAAGTGTAGGGGCCTGGGGCAAGCCATAAATCTTGCGTACAAGCCCGAGTGACCGAATTCAATCACCCTGCTAGGCCAGAACCATCCATACTTGTGGAATGAAAAGTGAGACACAGCAGCGGTTCCAGCAAGCATTAAGAGCTCTTTGGCAGATGTTCATGAACAGAAATCAATTTTGGGCTGGAGACATGGCCAACTCGCCACTGGTTTAGAAAGATGGGAAGAGAGGAATTTCTTCATTCCCTCCCCTCCCTCCCCTTTCCTACCACACTGGGCTCCCACTGGAGTCTGTGGAATAAGACAAATTGATCTGCTGACATCTTCCTTTTTACATCCCTGTATCCCCCTCTTCCTTTTCCAGATTCTCATTCAACCTAGCCTCATCCCTAAGGTAAAGGTAAATTCACTGCCCAAGCCTTTTCCTAATTACTTGCATAGGGATTATCCTTTATACTATTTATGTTGTTTGTATTTTTTGTCATGGATTGCACCAGAGAGGCTAAAACCAATTTCGTTGTATACATGATGTACAATGACCATAAAGGCTAGGAGTAAAGGTTCCCCTCACACATATGTGCTAGTCGTTCCCGACTCTAGGGGACGCTGCTCACCTCCATTTCATAGCCGAAGAGCCAGCACTGTCCGAAGACGTCTCTGTGGCTATGTGGCTGGCATGACTCAATGCCGAAGGCGCACAAAAATAGGTCCCTATTTTTCTACTTGCATTTTTTTTAACGTGCTTTCAAATTGCTAGGTTGGCAGAAGCTGGGACGAGTAATGGGAGCTCACTCCATTACGCGGCGCTAGGGATTCGAACCGCCAAACTGCCAACCTTCCTGATGGACAAGCTCAGCATCTTAGCCCCTGAGCCACCTAGCTCTAGGCATTTTGCTTCAGCCGGAGTAACCTCCCTGTTCTTCACAGTTATCTTGGCAATTTGTCACTTAAGAGGGAAGACAGTCGTCCCTCTGGGATCACTTACGCTGGTGGTATAAGTAGCTTCGGGATCATCCTCCAGGACACGGGACAGACCAAAATCGGAGACTTTGCAGACCAGCTGGCTGTCCACGAGGATATTGCGAGCAGCCAGATCCCGATGGACGTAGTTCATGCTGGCCAAATATTTCATCCCGGAAGCGATTCCTCTCAACATGCCTACCAACTGGATGACACAAAACTCCCCGTCTTTTTCCTGTTGGGTAAAAGGAGAGGAAGACACTTCAGAGCCGCCACACTTTTAAAGGGGGTTTTAAACAGATGATCGAGTCTGGCCCAGACACACCTCCAGCCCTCTTCGCTTTTGAGAATTTTGAAAGGCTCGATTCACAAGGGAGAGTCGGCTCCCTTGCTTTACACGTGAGAAGAGATGTGGAAGAGGAAAGGGTATAGACCTACCCTTAGGAACTTATCCAAGGCACCGTTCTCCATGTATTCGGTGATGATCATGAAAGGCTTAACTGGAAGGAAAAGGAAAGGTTGACAGGTGAAACCAGGGTGGATAAAAATTGAGGTTTTTTTTTTTTTTTAAATGTACAAATCGGATTTTTTATAATTTAAATTGG